ATCATTAAATAAAATCTCGGAAACATTCAGCCATTTTAAAGATGTACGACCTTCAGAAATATGGTCAAATTTCTTTAACTCTAAAACAATCCTGGCAGCGAAATTCTGCACTATTTGCAGCTCAGTGTAAGTTTGATTTAGCTGTAAGTTATGCAAGTTTGATTTCAATGTAAGATAAAATTTAGTAACCAATAATTAGAATTTATTGTAATGAATTGTAAATGTAATGTTTTGTATTTGTTTGTATATCCGAAATGAAAAAAAAGTTTGATTTAGATGTGTTTCCCTACACAAGTATACAGAGGAACAACGTAAAATAAAATGCTTAAAACATTTTAAGCTATTTATAAGTAATATAAGTAACTTTCTGTCTAAGAGGTGTTTATCCTATTTACCTGTACCAACTGATGAAAACAATTAGAAGCTGTCTTGGTTATATGCATGGATGCTATATATAATCGAGACATTGATCCATCGCAACTAAATCCGGGGATATAGTTTTTCCTAGTACCGAGAGTGATATAGGAGGTAACTGACTGGTGAGTGGGGGTAAACCAACGACTATAAACTTAATTTTTTCAGGGTTGATAAGTAAGCAATTAGTTGAGCACCAGTGACTAATTTTAAATAGAGTTTGAAGTCATTGTTCACATCTGAGATGGCGTTAGCTGACCCTGATACCTCAAACTTGAAAAACTCCTTATAACCATCAACATACAGGTTCACTTGACTATTACTAATTTCATTAATAAGATCATCCACATAGATGGTGAATAAGATCGGACCCAGGACTGAGCCCTGGGATATCCCTGCATTGTGTTCTATAGGAAGTATTTCTGAGATAGAATCTTGGTTCGTAGCGGACCCGGCTCTGCTTTCTGAATAATAGATAGCTAGAAAACCAGGAAGCAGCAGCCGACTGCATCAGGCCAAGTCTGCGCAACTCAGTCAGGAGATAATTGTGATCCAGGCTATCAAAAGCTTTGGACATATCCAATAATACTAACAATGATACAGTTTTTCTTCGACTGCTTTTAAGAGTTGATCATTGACATATACAAGGGCAGTTTCAGTAGAATTGTGTCACTTGTAACTACTTTGATGAACTGACAATTTATTATTTCTCGTAAAAAAGTCAGAAAACTGTTTTTGGGCAAGTCTCTCAATTACCTTTGACAAGATAGGCGATAATGAAATTGGTCTGTTATTAGCTGGTACAGCCGCCGGGTCTCAATCTTTTGGTATTGGGACGCTTTCCGCCAATTTCCATGAGTCAGGAAAGATATACTTTGTTGGAAGGAATTATTGATTAGTCCTGCGATCAGTGGAGCAGTTATTGGGCAGCTGTCCTTCAGGATTCTCTCCGAAATCTTTCAAGCGTTCCTAGCCCCACAGTGACAGCGGTGTCTCGAACCAGTCGATCAATGAGTGCATTTACACAGACACTTTCACGTCCCCGGTAAGCCGCGGCTTGGATAAGTCCAACCCAAAACTCATCGGCCAGGATGAGCCGCGACTTGAGCTGGCCGTGGGTTGAATAAGCCGTGAATGTAGATTTTGTACCATTTATACGAGGTTTTCGTGTCTTACGTAAGCTGCGGCTTATTTTCTCTCGTATAAACGGCCCTAATATCCTTTTCACTCTTCTCCTTAAAAAACACGATAATTGATATAAATAGTCTACGAAAGTCGTGTTGTTAAAATGTTCGACTTTTTTGGGGGCAAATTTTTTTTCAACCATGTTCAAGCACGACATTTTTCTATATTCATTTATTGGAGATTTGTTAACGTAATAGCTGGCAGGTGCTAGTTAACAAAACTGAATATTGAGGTTCGGGCCAGACTAGGTAAATTACGATCCGAAACGGCCCCTCGAAAACACAATTATCAAATCTCACAATGAAAGGCAAGCAACAATGACAGCAAACAAAATAAAGAACTAGGTATAGAGCGATTAACAGCAAGTATGAAGTTAAGTTGGTGAACATCATGATAGGGACTTTGACTTAAGTTAAGGCTGTCATGGGCAAAAGCGATAAGAGTGTCTTTAGTTAGAAAACCGCAAGTTTTACCAAAGCCGTCAGCTTAATATGATTTTAAACAAAAGATTATAATATCCATCGTCTCCATACTCTATTCATAGTGCATCTTCGACTACAACAAAATAACTTGATTTGAGCCCCTGCTAACTCGAACAAACTACGTGGGTCCTTTGGAATCCACCTTGGGATACGTGATATGTATATTTGACACAATACTATTCTTACCATTTTTCTCGTGAAAGTAGTACCTGGTCGATCGGTAAGCTTGGCTTTATCTCTTACGGGAGAGAACTGTTGCTTGATTAGTTCACAACTACCATTGCTGCTCATCCCAAAGGGCTCTTTAAAGTTAGCAGAGGTACACCAAGAGTGCCCTAAGCATGCCTGGCAGCATGAAAAAAGGTCGGGTGTATCAATTTTTTTGACCGCTTGGCCTGCTAAATACTTATTCTTACTAC